TCTAACTCTCTATCCCTCTCCCTTCCTCTCTGTAAAAAATCAATAAAATATATTTTTTTAAAAATTAAATTATATAAAATAACAATTAAATAAGTTACAGTAAAAACAGAGGTAACCTAAATGCAGGGTGGTATCCTGGATTGTATCGTGGAATAGAAACAGGACATTAGTAAAAAAGCTGAAGAAATCCAAATAAAATCTGTGGGTTAGTCAATAGTAATGTGCCAAGGTTAATTTCTTAGTTTTGACAAATGTACCACAGTTATGTAAGATATTAACATTAATGGAACCTGGCGAAGGGTGTACTAGAACTCTGTACCACCCTTGCAACTTGTCCGTAAATCTAAAATTACTCCACTTCACAAATGCAGTACTCAAACCTTATCCCTTCCTAATTATTCTACTGCATTTTACTATTATCTGTGTTCTTGAGGTTATGTCTATTGTATCTGTTTGGTGGAAATACTATATAATGGTTTGCTACTGCACATCTCTTCTCAATGTTATGCTCAAAGCCATCGTGTTAACTTGAAATCAGCCACAATGGAAGAAGTTACAGCACAGAAATTGGCAAATGCTACAATTCAGGCCCCCCTTCTCCACCCCCGAGAGCTGGTGGCTAAACATTTGCCAGCACACCGTGGTTCAACCTCATAGTTAAGGTCCCTCTGATTGCCCATGGGAGATGTGATCTATAGTTATCACCGACAGCCTTACTCATAACGGTTTTCTGTAATAAAAGTGAAAATATTAAATTCTATGTAGAGTAGGTTAAGACTTTTCTAATTTTTTGTAGTAAGGGGAGAAAAGTTTGTCCGAAGTGGTTTTTGACAATTTCTTACAGTGCTGAGGAGGCTAGTTACAGTACCATCCTAACCCACAGAGAGGCACTGTTCCCATACATTTTTTTCCTGCTCTCCCAATACAGTCACAGACTGAGACTGTTGAAGGGACTATTACTAGTAAGCACCCCTGGTACTTAACTAGGTTTCACTGTAAGTAACTACACACCAAACTGTGGTCAGTGGTTGTCTCAGGCGCAAGTTGAACTAGGTGTAACTTTACCTTCTTTTGCTTTGTTTTCTATTTATGTAAACAATCGTTTTACCTTTGTAACCAGGGTAAAAGTAGAAAATACATTAAAAAGGAATTTGGAGGTGGTAACTTCCCGACCCCTGGCTCATCTTGCCAGTGAACCACTGTTGGTTGCCTGTTGAGTGGTGGTTTGTGTATTTCAGATTGCTGATCGCAACTGCAACCGGATGTCTTACTATAGCTCTGGCAATAATGATGTTCCGAGTGCAACCGGAGCCCCAAGGCCAACCAGCAAAAAGGTACTGAGCCCGGCAGTGTGAGGACAATATTTCCCACCCTTCACACACACACACACACACACACACACACACACACACACACACAGATGTTTGGGGCCCTGTCCCTATCCCCCATTTTTTGACCAGGTAATTACCTACTAACTCAATGGTTCTCCAACTTACCATGCATCAGATATGCCTGGGAGGCCTGTTAAAACTGATTGCTGGGCCCTCTCCCCAGAGCTTCTGATTGGGTAAATTTGAAGTGCGGCCCAAGAATTTGCATTTCTAATAAGCCCCTAGCTGATGCTGGTCCAGGAACCACACTTTGAGAACCACTGCATTAGCTTTTTTTTTTTTTTTTTTTTAAGAGAAGGAGAGATGGGGACAGTTCATCCTCGACCAAAGTGCATGGCAATAATGTGGCATCAGTTATTTTAACAGTACATATATTAAGGAACTATGAAATGCTTTCTCATAATTCTTCCTAATCAGCCTTTCCTATGAGTTCAGAGACTTTACAAGCAGTTAAACTGCTCACCAGAACTCCTTATATTAACAAAATTCTCTGATCGTAGTCCCTGACTGTGGTCCAGAGGTGGAGGGGGAAAACTGTCTGTCCTAGGTTTCCTCCTCTGCCGTGCACCCAGGATTCTCATGTTTATAGTAGCTACTTACGTTAAGGCAGTGGTTCTCAACCTTCCTAATGCTGCGACCCTTTAATACATTTCCTCATGTTGTGGTGACCCCCAACCATAAAATTATTTTCGTTGCTACTTCATAACTGTAATTTTGCTACTGTTATGAGTCGTAATGTAAATATCTGATATGCAGGATGGTCTTAGGCGACCCCTGTGAAAGGGTCGTTCGACCCCCAAAGGGGTCGCGACCCACAGGTTGTGAACCGCTGCGTTAAGGTCGTGCGTGTTTGTTAAGACCTCTAGTAAAAGGGAAGCCATTCGCAACAGCTGACAACGCAGGAAAATGTGTATTAAACAGGCGAGGAAGAAATGAACTCAGCATAACTCACTTGGGACTAGGTGAGGGAAATATCAAGCGAGCGGGAGCCCTGCAGGACTCATGCGACACTAACCCAGGCCCCATAAATCTGGTGAGAGTTACCAGGAGTTCATGGTAAAAGAAGTGAAAGGAGATATGGGTAGGTGCTGAAAATAAACTTTTCACTTATTCTAAAACTTAGCTTTGAGCTTTGCAGTGACTGGTGACAGGGACCATTTTCCTTCTTGAAACCATGATTTTCCTACAGCCTGACAACCTCAAGGCAGGGCTGGTTTCTCCCAGGCGCAGTCATTATCTGGTTATGTACTTGCTTCGTTTTAACTTGGCTTCTGGTCAATAAAATAATTTCATTTCCGAGGGAAGTTTAGCCGGTGTGTTTCCTTAGGAGCTGAGCAAACAGGGTCCAGCTGCTTGGCTACTTCCTGTAACCTCGGGAGCAAGGTGTTCTTGTAATACTGTTGCCCGGTGAGCAGCATCAATTCTTTAAGAAGCAGTAATCCCTCTCTAATCTGTTCTTGCCATAAGACTCAGCCAGTCAAGCTGACCTACTTTCTGGAGGTTCCCTTTAAAGCCGGTAGAGTGTTCTCTCTCCTACAGTGGGAGATCGTGTGTAACCACGTTACATCATGTGCGCACTTAGACCACCTGCCAGACTAACACTTACCTCATGCCTCTCCAGGTGGGAAAGCTTCCCTTAAGACTCCCAACAGCAAACAAATGTATTAACGTGTATTAAAATTGTAAAGGTTTGACTTGCCTGGCAGAATGAGTGGAACCCACTGACTAGCTTCATTCAGCATTCTCCATTCATCACCAGAACCGGCCAGGGATGTAAATAGAAGCCCCAGACATCTGCACATGGATTTTCCATTTGTCTCCTTTTAGTATAGCTGAGTAACTCTCAGATTTCAATGTCCATGAGAATTAATAAATTGGGTTACATGCATTCTGTACATTGTGGGTAATTTAAGGCTTAGTCAAGGGCAATCTTTGCTATAATCAGCTTTTTGCTTTAGGTGTTGAACTTAAAACTTACCTTCGACATAAGCCAGTGCTCTAGGGTGTGATATTAGGGTCTTCAAATTTTATCTTTCTTACCCACAAAATGATAAATAGTAACTTCATCTGCCTTTCTTCTAGGTTTTGTGGTCATTAGATAAATGAAATCCATAGAAAATGTCTATTTTTGTCATTAGTTAGGTTGACCAACCACCCCAGTTTGCCCAGGACTGAGGGGGTCCCTGGGACTTTCATTTTAAGACCATGACAGGCTCAGGCAAACTGAGGTGAATTGGTCACCTACATTTAGTTTTGAACTTCGTCCCATCAAAACTTGTCAAAAGCATTAACAAGTAGCCAGATAAATGAGGGAATGGGAAAGGCACAAAAGGTATAAAAATTACCATTTGCTCTCGAGCAGTCAGGTGACTTGAAGGGAAGTGTGGACATAAAGTGGAGCTGAGGACTTTTCAAGCATCTGACCCTGGAACGTGAGAATTTAGAAGTTGTGAGTTCAGGCTGATGCCACTATGCCTTTTACTGCAGAGGATCTGCTCATAAACCCAGCCCATCACGTTTCCCACAAAGCCATAGTGGGAGTATTAAAAACAACAACAACTGTCCAATCTGGAAGGGAGTTTAAATACCATCTAGGCATTGGTTCTCTAACAGAGGTCCCCAGGCCAGCAGTGCCAGCAGGAACTTGTTAGAAATGCAAATTCCCAGGTCCTGCCCCAGGCTCACTGAGTCTGAATCCAAAACTCTGGTGGTGGACCCAGCAGTCTGGGTCCTCACAAGCCCTCCAGGGGATCCTGCTGCACAGTCATGTTGGAGAACCTAACGACGGATTTCATGGGTGAGAAAACTGAGGATAGAGGAATGGCTTGCACACAGAGGGTTTGCTGCAGGATCTGAAAGGAAAACCACAGGCACCCCCAGTTCTGACGGCTACCCCAGAAAGCAGATCCCCTCCCAAGCTGAGGCCATTCCTTCAAACCCAGCTCTCCTGTGTGATACCACCACCAACCTTCTCCTACCGACCTAAATGTTCACCAAGCTCAGGTTATTGCAGCATTGGCTTTGCCATCCACCTGTGGTCTAGGACAACCGTCGCCAGCCGGCGGTCCGTGGTGGTCTGCGGACCACGGTTAGTCTGTGAGGTCTGAAAGGTTGGTGACCGCTGGTCTAGGACCTGTAGGACACATGTGTCAGTAACTAACAAGCTATTACAATTGGTAAGAAAGAAAAGAGGTGTTGGAATACGAAGCATTTGTCCTCACAGACGGTCATTACATGAATGTAATGTTTCTTTGGGTGTTTATCGTCTAGCATTTCCATGAGGAGCTTGCCCTGCAGATGGTGGTCAGCACTGGAATGGTGAGAGAAACAGTCTTCAAGTACGCCTGGTTCTTCTTCGAGCTCCTGGTGAGATTCTTGCATGTTTCTGTCTGTGCTCAGTAGAGCATGAAAAGCACATGGCAGAAAGGCAGTGATGTGTCCCATAACAGGAACTGACATTTTATGCACCAAGTTGCTCCCGCTGAAAACCTGAGATCATTCCTTAAAATCTTACTCTCCTTCACCCCTCCACCCAACCTCCACCAAATCTTGTTTTTTTTCTGTTTTGAAAATCTACCTCCAACACCTTGGTTCTCACCATCTTCACCACCCACCACCAGGCCAAGCCACCATCATCTCTCTGGTGCCTCTTGCAATAACTTCCTCTTTGGCTGCCTGCATTCATTTTTGCCTGAGCCCATCCATTCTGCACAGGGCCCCCCAATATTAAACAGATCACATCATTCTCCTCTTTAAAAACCTTCAATGATTTTCGGAGTATCAGAAATAAAGCACACATCTTTGTCATGGCCCCCAAAGCCCTCGTAATTCTATTTGCCTCCATCTCTAACCGACTCATCTCCTGAGTAGCTCCACATGGCATCCTGGAGCTCTCTTTGCAGGCGTGTTGGCTTCTCTGCATATAACAGTGGCTCTGTCCTTCATGTAATTCTACTAACGGCTGGTATCCCTGAGAAAGGAAAAATAATAGCCTTGAAAATGGGTTGTACATCTTACTATGTTTGTGTCGGGCACAGTTTTAAGCACTATCTCATTTAATCCTCAAACAGCCTTGAGACGGGAGTTTTCTATGGGGTCTGGGGAAGGGTGGCGGTCACAAGGAGGAGTCTCCAGGTCCACCAAGGCTTCCTCAGTCCCGCTTTGCTGTCCCTCACTGCAGGGAGCTAAGAACCATGGAAAAGGTACATGGTTTGATCTTGCACATTTATTTACTGGGACTTGAGCTTTGCTGTCCCTCACTGCAGGGAGCTAAGAACCATGAAAAAGGTACAAGTTGCTTTTGATCTTGCACATTTATTTACTGGGACTTGGTGGGCCCAGGAGAGAAAGCAAAAGCTAAAGCGCCTGGAAGGAGGGAAGGAGGACTATCCCTTATACTAAACAGATGCTGGAAAGAAAGCTCTTGGTAATCCCAGCACATGGAGGAGGTTGGTCGACATGCAGGTCACCCAAGACACGGTTACCCGGGGCTCTACATGTTATAACCTAAGTCTGTCAAGGTCCTAGCAGGACAGCGCTGGCATTACTCAAAGGAGTCAACTGAAAAGCATTTATCAGAGGGACTCTGCCCAGGGTGTACACAAGTTACAGAAGCAGATAAGGGTTGGTGAGGCACCCAGGGAGCTGCAAGTGCTGGAGGTTGTTGTTCTAGCTCTAAAGAAGCCAGGGTGGGGAGCACTATAACAGTGCCTAGAGAATGCTAAGGCAGAGGAGAAGGTCCCCAGACAGCAGCTGGAGTCTTAGGGAAATGTTGCCACTGCCAGAACCATGCTGTGGCAGGAATGAGGGCATGGAGAGGATAAATACCAGGACCTCTCCATTCTCCCGCCCACTGAACCCTTGCTGGTGCCTCCCTTGGCCACTTCCAACCAGAAGCCAAGGAGAGGTATAGTCCACGGAGATCAGCTTCCCAAGGTTCGGAGATAGACAGAAAGGGGGAAGGGATGGATCTAAGGAAGGGCTGGGTGGAAGCAAATGGAAACTATCAGCCCCAGCCAGAACTTGGCAAGGAAACTGGCCTCAGACTCAGACAGGGTGCCCAGTCCTCCTTGCATTGTTTGTGCATTTGCTTTTCAGATGCCCAGGAAGTTATTTAAAAGCCAAGACAGTTTTTTGCCCAAGAAGCTTGATGAGAAAGAAAGCGCAGCCTTCTTGAACTTAGCCAACAACCTGGGAGATTTAACACCTTTCAGTTGTGTCAATGCCCAAGCGGTAATGAACAACCACTTTGGCATGAGAGCTGCTGAACACCCTCCTTTTGTGAATTGCACACTTGCTAATGAATAAATCCCCGTGCTTCTGTAAACCGCTGAGCCAGACTTTGGGGACCCAGAGGTAAATGGGGGACCTAGTTTGCTCAGGACAGGAACGTCTGCACCAAGGTGTTCTTTAGAGGTACACTTGCTCTGAATGGGTCACAAAGGCCAATATGAGGAAAAATATTTTCTTGCCTTACCCGACCCACAACAAATAATGGGCCAAGCACCCACTAACATTTCTACAGGGTGCTCCTCTCTAGCCATACAGAGGACACAGTAGCTGGCAAGTTGCTGACCGCCTGGAAAGAGGCCATCAGCTGGAAGTGTGGTATTGTGAGAACTATTTATTTGGTTGTAGGATGGCCAGACGCAGCAGGCAGGAGCCGAACACCGCAGTGAGCTCCAAAAGCCGGGTGTGGGGTAGGGAGCCAGCAGAGAATCAGGACTAGGGTAGCCCAGAACAAAGAGGCCTTGTGTTCCCAGGTCCTTGGTTAGCACAGTGAGAGACACTCTGCCAGACAAAAATGGGGTCCAGTTCCCACCCCTCCTCCAGGTCCTCTCACCAAGAGTGTGAGACTCTGTGGGGTGCAGACATGTCCGTGGGTCCTGAACCACAAAGGACTTGACAGTGAAGAAAAACTATGGTTCTTACACTGGGCTTTCGGATTCTGTGTTCTTAGGTCTTCCCCAAGCTAGCCGTGGCATTACCTTTTTTTTTTTTGTAAATCCTCAACTGAGGATATTTTTCCATTGATTTTTTAAAAAATATATTTTATTGATTTTTTTTACAGAGAGGAAGGGAGATGGATAGAGAGTTAGAAACATTGAGAGAGAAACATCGATCAGCTGCCTCCT